AGTCAATTAACATCCTCCGCACAGAGAGGCCAGGTCTCGCAACCGTAAAACAGAACAATACGGATCACGGCGATGTACACCTTTCCCTTAATGGAGAGTCGGATGTCATGGCGGCACCACAGGTGTCGCAGGTTGGCGAAAGCTGCTCCAGCTTTCACTATTCGTGATATGATCTCGACCCCAACACCACCACCAGCTGCGCAAGCTCCCGAGGTACTTAAAGCTCTCAACTACTTCTAGCTGATCACCCACAGAGGGTGAAGTGCAGGCACAGGCTCCTGCCAGTCTTGAACCAGCACTTTGCACTTGGAAGGTGCAAAGTACATACCATACCTGGCTACTTATCGTAATGCCCACATTCCTTTCGAACAATTGGAGAAGTAGAGATTCCTCGATTAAATTCGTTTACGGTTATTAAAAGTTGAACATTCCAGTTATCGAAGCGTTCCTATTTTCGTCGATACCATTGACCTGAACGATTGACAGTAGTGTTTCTTCCTGCGATTATGAGTGAAGTATTTAATTTGTTTGGTGAACATCCAAATGAACTGCTGTGCCTTAACTGAAGTAACCAAATAGTATTGCTCACTTGACTGACGTAGCTCGCTGTTCTTATGATCTCTGTAACTGGTAATTCTCGTCAAAAATTACAGTGTTTGATGCGAAGCAGTGTATACTTTCGGAGTTATTTGTTGATTTCCACCTCATTCCCTGTCGTGTTTGCAATGCAAGGCTAAAAGCGTTATCAGTCGATCTGTTAGCAACCTAGCTTTGCTGTGCTCTCTTCCGTGTCGTTTGTAAATTACTGTTAACTTCTCTTATCATTAACTTGTTATTTTGACGCTTCGATATCCTTGGCCTCGAGCAAAAGTCTATAGCAAAATCAAGCTGAACACGTAGATAATTTGTCAGCCGCAAAGACACCAAGCACATAAGATTCGAGGATTAAAAGCGCTACTTGTAATGGACAATGTCATTTTGTGCATACGTGCGCATGGTTTGGGCGATACTATTCATATTTTGAATTTCTTTTTTCGTTCACATTTCCGTTGATAACCACAACTAATTGCAATTACTGCTCATCCGAGTTTTCGATTCTTCTGGTCCAGTCTGTTTTATTCTTCTGACTGTGCTACATTTACCTTCAGATTGCCACCATCGCGGTCAACTACAAAGGTCATCCCTTTATGGAATCACTGTTGGAGAACAAACCAATTGTTGTCTCTCTCGGAGTTGCAACAGGTGGTGTAATCCTCCTTGCTCTGGGCATGTTTGCCGAACCTCTTCGATTGATGCGATTGGATCCACAGGTCTGTGGTTGCGTCCGCGTGACGTCACACGTTTACTCGTCCGATGATAGTTGCCATTCATGTCAATTTTTAATGTTCTCATTTGACCGATTGATCTACTGCTCAAAGTGAAAGTTTTGCTATGGTAATTACTTACATGCTCACACTCCTCTTGTCCCCATATATTAGCGCTTTTAACTCGTCTCTCGGAAAAAATGAGAAATGTCGATTGTTGTCGTGGCGCATTGGTTTAGTCGATGTCACCGGCATACTTTGGAGCCTATGGTCCGAGGTTTGAGCCCCGCCACCCAACTTTGGTGGTAGGCAGCTTTGCAGTCCTCCGGTTCAGTACCACACCTAACCTAGTGGGGCCTTATGCGGTTTGCCACTCCAAGTCCTGGGTCTTATATAACGGGTTTCGATCACTAAACAGCAGGTCCTCGTGACCAAGGGCCCACATTGTCTGCTGTTCATCACACTTAAGTGTGTCATAAAAAATATTATCCTGGGCATAAATTTCACATATTGTGTAGTCTTCAGCCAATTTGCGTTTTAGTTGTGTAGAAATGTTAGGTGTGCGTGGGTTTCATCAATTCTCCGCTTCAACGATTCAACAGTTGGCACACACGGCGTGAGATGGGAGAACGTCCCAAGAGATGCACACTGATGATAATGTATTGACACGGACATCCCAGTCGACACTTTGAAAGCCCCAACTTGAAACGGTGTCCCCTAAGGTATACGTTAGGCGATAACATCATCAGTGGGTTCTGCAATATTTTGTACACCAAAATCTGTAAGCTTGTACAACCATTAACCATGCACCTTCGTGCGGCGGCTTTGGTTGCTGTCATTTGGCTGCCCATTTGGATGAACAATAGGAGAAAGACAGGAAGTTGAAGGCCTCTACGGAGAATATCAGTGGTCTAAGGTTGCAAATAAATTGAGAAGATGCACGAATGCCACTGTTTACGACACTCAGTCATATCACCCAGTGTCTCTAACCCTCGGTTACGATCATCCAGGGGTCCCCAACCTGGGATCCTAACGGGACCTATGTGACCCAGTACCCTGGTTAAGGATTTCGTATCCTCGTGCCAGGTCTTAGCTTGACCACCCTTTGCTTTATTCCACCCACTGCTTGCCTCGCCAAATATCGCTCGCGGTGGCAACCCACTTGGTGTCATGTGTAACGCATGCCCCAACCAAAGTAGTCTATGGAGGTCGACTACTTGCTCCAGTGGGCAACGGTGGTTGCCTAAAACTCTGTGCCTAACCTCAGCATTGCTTATTCGGTTTCTCCATCAGATTCGTGCAATGCTGCGTAAACAACGGTGTTTAAACGACGACAGTCTGTCTTTGTCCTGTTTTCTTAATGGCCTAGTTTCTGCTCCATATAGCAGAACTGGCCGGACAGTCACTTGGTAAGGAATGGCCTCTAACATGCGCGCGAATCCCGTAGGCTAACAGAAGAGGGATGTATGCCATAGATGTGAGGTCTTGTAGACAAAAGTCATGATAGCAACGAAGAAAAAGTGGCAAGAAGCCTTGACCGGTGACGGAATGCATAGAGGAAGTCAAAGTTGCATACTAAATGAAACAAAGAGGCTTACATTAAACTAGACTGAGAAGAGACACGGGAGAAAAAGGAGACCCCCAAGTCAAATCAAGCTTTATGCACCCAATAAATGAATTTTCAACACTTTCGACGAAATACAGTGAGGAAAACGTTAAGTATTGGAAAAAGAAGAATATGCATTTACTAAATGAAAAACAAATGGATTTCATAAAATCCTAATGTGACAGATGATTATTCAAGTTAGTAATAATATTTGGTGGGTTGACTAATATACGAGCAACGGAAAAGAAGTTTGACAGATTGTGGAAAAGAGAATAAAGTCTTTCTCCTTGAGACCGGAAAAATATACGGGGGAACAGTACAACCAATGTGGAAGAATGCATGCGGTCACAAATTTAAGAATTACATTAAGAGGAACACCGAGCTTTTAAGCCTAAAATCGTAGAAGGATAGCCCACAAATCCTACTGCAAATTCGAACAGGCAAGTCAGAAGACAAACACTGCGAGAGGAATTTCTTTCGCATACTCTCATCGGTTGCACACGTATAACATCGAGCAAAATAGACAAATGATTGGCAAATGTTTTCAACATGTTTGGATCAAGACAGACACTATTTGCGTTCTTTTCGGAATCGTTGGCACTTACAAGCCTGTGCGAATGGTTGAATGGTAATCGCAACAGCACTGACGAAATTAGACAGGTCACTGACCAAGGACAATCGTAACAAGGGTCTAACGCACTACTTACTGTTTTTGAGTGACGTACCCCTGCATGGGTATAACGACAATTTATTGTGGTACATACGAACAGGATTAAGAACAGACGGTTGTTATCATGGTTTGCTCACGTCATCATCATCATCGCACAGCGAAATACAGTGAGACAAACTTCACTGATCGCTGCCAAACTCGCAGCGCATACAAGGTTAGTGGTAAAATTTAAGGTGGCCCGGGATTNGGGATTGGACATATTTAGAGGGAGGGGAAGAAGGTGAATCTCTAAGGTCAACAGATAGACTAAGCAATCGAACTCTGCTTACATACCGTTTCAAGCATTCTGACCTGATAAGAAACGACAACAAGAACGCCACTGCTGCCGGTTGGTACTATAGTTTGGTTTCAACATGTCAGTGCACCGACACACAATGCTCTGGTGATGAGAAGTTTCCTCGATTCAGAGTTTAACTGTAGATGGATTGGCCGAGGAGGACCAAAGTAATGGCCTCGAAGATCACCTGATCTGTCCCCCTTGGATTTCTTTCCGTGGGATATTTAAAGTGAAGAGTTTATTCCCGAGAACTAACGAGGAGCTTAAACAGAGGATTATGGCGCAGTGCGAAAGTATTCCAATTGCTACCATTATGAAGGTGGAAGAAAACTATCTTCACTGGATTTGCGAGGAGAATGAAAAATATATGGAACATCTTTTATGATATCACTATAATCATCCCCGTTATATTTGTTCTTTCTTTCGGAATTCTATCTCCGACGTAGTTAGTGAGATCGTTGAACGCGAAAACAACCAGTTGGGAAAAAAATCAAGAAGAGTTTTGTGTGGGCCTACATTAGGGGATATTGCTGTCCGTTATTAAGACAAGTTCAAAGTTTTATTATCATTATCTGTTTACCGAACCCGCTTCGAAAAGTATGGCGTGTATCTTAGACGAGTCAAGCGTTGGCTTAGTGTCCTAATCGCTTGAGCATGTTCCATTCGGAATTTCCCACGTGGCGCACCGCTCCACAACTGATTCTCTATAAACACTTAGGCTGCATCGGATTCGGACCCTATCCTCCTCATGCGCCGGCCCAAAAATCACACGATCGATCGGTCGAATGGTTCATCCGCAACAAGGTATCTGGTGCTTTCCCAGCTAACCCGAGCGAGAAACCACAACTTGTTTACAGCTGTGAGTCTCAGACAGGCCAGTGAACGACTGTGCAGCAGGGCTGCCATCAGCACACGGATGGACTCGACGTAACAACAAGAACATTACAAAACGTACAAGCCCTTAATCAGACAGTCTCGTGTTGGGGTGAGGGATTTTAAGCGCCGCAGATCGCGGAATATGATCCAGTCAGATTGCGGAAAGGGTCAAATGGAATTTACTTGTTTAGGGTCACGGGTGAGAGGAACGAGACAATGGTAAACCATGGAGCAATTGCACTGTACTCTAGCTAATCTTGGTACTGAAAATCGTGACAGCGACCCGATAGTATAGTGCTCATGTCCTTTCTTAAATCTGACTATTTTGCTGAATGTATTTGTTCACTCCAGTGGTCTCATGAACGATTTTTTTCTTTTTTTGAATCATTTTTGATGTTGTTCACTTGCAGGTTTTGTATGTATTTCCCTGTCACGTGACTGATTCTAAAATATACACATCGGTTGAAGTTATTTGTGAGAATGACTGTGAACCATTTGTGTGATTAGCGTGAACTCACTGTTTCATTGTCAGAACCGGCTTCCTTAACCAATTATTTAAAGGCGAAAAGCGCTTGTTACTCTCCTGTTTCCTATCCTTTTCAGCTTCAAAAGGTGTTCTTCCAGGCGGTGGCATTCGATTTTATCGCATCCTGGCTGGTGGATCGCATACTCGTCTTCATATTTGGGCATGTGCGTGTGAAATCTTTATGAGCATTCATGCCCCGATTTCCTTCATCATTCGGTACTATTCCTACCGACCCAATATTCTCTGACGAGTCCCTCGTGTTCGTACGCTCCCCTTATGCGTTTTATGCGTAAACCGTTTATATTATGTGTTCCTGCACTGTCCTCCAGCTGTGAAATTTCCCCAAATTTCCCCAGGCACAGAATTTTGTTTCTTCCTTCCACCTGTTTATTTCCTTTCTCCAAAAACCATTCATTTTCTGGCCTTGATGTAACTTTGTTCATTTGAATCGTCTTCTGCTTGTTCGGCAGTTTGCTTCCTACACCATTTTTTGGCTGAAGTCTTTCCGTGAGTCGAGTTGTACCGTATCATCATTACACCCTATGCCGTTCTATAGGTTTCTCGTATGTGACTAAATGACCTTCAGATACTGTTGAACAAGTTTATCGCTCATTTGTGGTATCGGTTTCACAACATTCCCACCGCCATGGCCCCTGTTCCGATGCGTACCTCTGACCCGTGCAGTTTTTAAACTGATTCCCAACTGTATACCCCTCCTTGAACCCACACAGATAAATGTGGATTATGTTTTTGTTCCGTGTATTGTGGCCCTGTGTGAACGATTTGGTTTACTTATTGCCTCGCTCACTCTGTCACTCGGTATAATAATAATACACTTGTTCCTTACTGGATGGATGAAAATCGCATTTTTTCTGTTGCAAACACTTCCCAGTGATTGGCAACTGCGTTGTCCACGAATGCGATAGGAACGACAAAGGCCTCACTGACAGTGCTCATTCGAGAGACATAGGATGAAAATAGCTATTAGTTTAAGATGAAATCGATCACAAATGCCGTTTCAATGGTTGCTGTTTTCATTGTGAAATTCAAATCGAACGACAGCCATTTGCTCCAGAACAAGAGTTCATATGGAATGGTTCATCACATTATTGTATATTGCCATCCTCCCGTTCCCGATTTCAGTTCAGGTTGTGTAAATGAAGCGCAAATGGACGTCAGTCACTACGAGTTCCAAGTGAAACAACCGCTCGCCTTTCCGTTGTGCACCTTTGAGGAATACGGTAAACTGAACGCCATAGCCACGAGTATTCTTCTGTTATGCTAACTGGCTGCCTTAGCTTATGAGTCTGTTGTTGCGTATTGCATAATGTCCAAATAGTAAACACCTAGTTCACGAGTTTCTACTACCAACCTGAAGTTTCACGGTCTGATCCCCTAGCAGGGACACGAAAAATACACACTACTGACGAGTCTAGAGCGCTTTGCCGATCGTCACAGGGATTTGCATCGCATTTATCCACGTACAACTTACTGAGGATTTCACTGAATCGCACAACTCATACAGTCAGCTGTTGGGAAACACTTCAATCTCACTATAAAAATGCACCTCAATGGGCCTGTTTCTAGTATCACTCCAATTTCCCAGTTGAAGAGTAGAAGAGAGGAAGAGCAAACTTGTCTAAAGCTTTCCGTGGTCGAATCGAACGAAGAAATACTCGGCTTCAGCTATGAGTATAGAGGGACAGCAACACCGTTCACGGAGGGGCAGACTAGGGTCCGGTACTTTCGATATGGTTGAAGGATGTTTTAAGGTCAAGGAAGGTAGAAAAGGTGGATCGATAGAGAAGTGCTGTGTTGAAGAATATGTCGAAGGACGAAAATATTGTAATGTGGTGTGTAACTTGGCAGTCGTCACACTGAGCTGTATTTCACGGGGATCGTGGAAATGCCTCTCTCGTACATCTCGGTTAAGGCGTTGTTTACTTGATATCCTCTCATTGTTTGTAAGTATACGGGACAGGCGGATTTCAGCAAGCATTTGTACAGCTTTCAGAATTCTGAGGGGTGGTCACGGTCCGCACGAGTCCTCTTCACCAAGCTGATACTGGAGGTTTTGTTTAATGATCCGAGAGCATGACAATTAAGTCGTTTACAGAAATGAAGGTAACGTGACTAGTAATTTAATCACGGTGTGAAATTTAAAAAACCTTTTTATTTAATAAACCGAGGAAAACCCCGGTGATCAATAAAAAAAGGTGGCGCAAATAAACTGGTGTACAGAAGTAGACATAAGTGACCTGGTGATGCGAACCTGTCTGGCCTTTCGGATTTGCAATGACTGGCGTAGCAATTAACTAAGAAGCTCGTGGATGTCGGTTGACCGACAGTTCAGGTAAGTTTGTACAATCGTTAACCATGCGCTTTTGTGCGCTGGTTTTTGCTGCCCATTTGGCAAAAGCAGTAGGAGAAACAAGAAAGTTGAAAACAGAGTCAAAAGGAAAACGGAGAATTTCGGTAGACTAAGAATGCAAAAAGGTTGAGAAGATGCACGAACGTCAC